TGTCCCTTGACTGCCTCTGGAAGAGCTGCTCCTTAACGTTTTTGCCTTTTCACTTACTCTCTGCCACCATTTGGAGTTCAAGGATTATCTGTGCAGCCACAGTCTAGATCACACAATGCAGGATGAGCTTCTGGTGAAAAAATCTTACTAAAAAGGCTCTGCTGGCTGGGAGAGAAGAGGCCTGAGGAGCCATGCTGGCTGTTGGTCAGGTCAGCCTAGGAGCAGAGTAGGTTCAGAGGAATTTCCATCCTTAAGACGGGACTTATGTTTCTAGTTCTTCTAGATACAATTGAAATGTTAATTAGCAGCCATTTTATAGTCCTGCTTCGCCTTCAGTTTACTGAGGCACTGGGAAATGTTTCTGCTTAAATACTTGTTGAAACCTCAATATTTAGGGAATGTTTTCGGGGCTTTTTTTTTTTTTTGCTTGGACACCATTGAAGTGAGGCAAGATGAGCTAGTTGTTGCTTTTCTCTTTCAAGGCTTCATTCCCCTTTTGTTTAGAAAAAGCTGTTTGCCTTCTAGATGTTTGCTTTCAAGGATCATATGTCCTGTCACCAAAAGGAGCAGGAACAATTTTATTTTTTTATTTTTTAGTGAAGGATTTGGGTTTCACACAAGTACATGATTTGAGGAACTAGATTTTATAGAAGTAATTAAATTTGCAGTGTTCTGTGTAATGATAATCTCATTTGCTTTTCTGCTCTCTCACTTTCATATTTTTCCTACTTTCTTGCCTTTACTACATGTCCATATTCTGTCCTGAGAAATTGTTAGTTTTGACTTTCTCCCACTGATGTTAATGTGAAATAATTCACATAATCATCTTTCAGAGTGACCTGCATCCTCTTCTGAAGAGCTGGCTGCTCTGCCTATGTGCACACAGCACAGGATGTGCCCAGGACTTGTGTATAAGCTGCAAAGTTGTGTGGGTTTGTGTATTTCGTGTTAGAAACTAAGTCAGACATTTTTTTTCAAAGACTTTCTCTGGACTTGAGTTACAGAGTCTGAAGGCAGCCCTCATGAAAACAAACTCAGGAAGTTTCTTTCAGTAATGTTTTGTACTGTCTGTGGATGATACCCTGCTACCCTTGACTGATATTTAATTTTGTGTTAAATTTGTATTTATTTCAGCATGGACCTGCCTTCTAAAATGCCACTTTTCCCTCCTTTTCCATCCTCTCCTCTATCATTTGTTTCTGAATGTCTGATTTCTGTGCTGTCTACAGAGCATCAGTCTTTATGTCACTGTGGTGGTTCTTGTGCAGTTCCTGTCCTGTTTGTCTCTTGCTTAGAAGGTGCTTGTGATGGAAACAGATCAACAGACCTGGGGAAATGTGGATGCAGCAATTAGTATTAAATACTCTCTGACAACATAAGACTTCTTCTTTCTTTAGGATTTCTTGTTTACTCATTAATAACTGTTTATAACTATTTTTTCTGCTGTTACTGACTGTTTTGTGGCTTGACACACTTGGAATTGTCACTGTTATTTTTCTTGCCAAATGTATGCACAGTTTTCAGCAATTCAGTGTCTTATTTCAGCAACTTGAAAGAACTTAGACTGTTCATGCATCTTCTTCCCTCCTGCTCTTAACTCATACAGCAGAGTTGTCCTCTCCAAAATATGTTCTTGAGCCAAAACTGTATTTCAGTTAAGACAGGGATACATCAGAGGCTGTAATTTACTTTTGTATTGCTCTGTATGTTAGTGTTACAGTAACACAGTCGGTGGACACTGCAGCAGGTTCTGGGATGCTGTTGGTACAGTCTTCAAAAACCCCATCTGCTAGAAGAATTGGTTTTGGCATTCCCAGAGAGAAATGTTCAGTGCTCATAATGTTTAAAGGAAAACTTCAGCTTTGTTTAATATCCTTAATTGTGCCTGTTGCATTCATTAAAAGGGCAGGAAAAAGTGATTTTTGTGACTTGTTGAAATAGATAATGTTATGATTGTCATAAATAATGTTTTTATTAACTCAGCACAGTAATTATTAAAGCCCTGTCTACATTCTTTCACATTAGCCAGGAAATTGTTCTGGGTGAAGTTTGTATAAGAAGTTAAGTAACAGTGTCTCTTTAGTGCTTGCAGAAACCAGATCTCACCAGTGACACCAAGGACAAAGAATATAAGCCCCATGATATTCCACAGAGACAGTCTGTTCAGCCATCTGAAACTTGTCCACCTGCTCGTCGAGCAAAGCGCCTGAGAGCAGAGGTGAGAGTCTGTGTGTGTGTGTGTGTGTGTGTGTGTGTGTGCACAAGTCCTGGGGTCACCCAGCCCCACGTCCTAGCTCCTTGGTGCTTTGCCAGGCCACGTGGCACAACAGGTTTTAGTGAAGTTGCAGGGCAAATGTTCCTTCCTTTGACCAGATCACTAAATGTATATGCAGAGTAAACAGAGGTTTAACTTTGTAATTTTTGAACACACATAAATGTTTATAAATGCACAAATTGTCAATAGTATGGCAAGGAATGGGTGGTACTTGAAAAAGCATTACTGAGGGTGGGAGTTGTTAGAAGGATCTTCTCTTGAAGCTGTTCCACTTCACACCAGTTAGGAGTGTGTATGCTAAGATGATGCTTTAGCATGATTATAAATAATCGGGGGCTCACAGATTAAAATATAGGTGACAAACTCTAGACATGAAGCTTGTCCTTTGCAATTTGATCTCTGTCATTTCCTCAGGGGACAGCTAGTGAGCAGGAGCTGCTCTTTAAATGTGTTGGGAGGTTGCTGTAAATTCTTTCATGAGTTGAAGCCAGATGTTAGAGCAGAAGAGGTTTTTGTTTCAGCATTAGCCTTGTATTTAATTTTTTACTCTGAATTCTATCAGTCTGTGATACTTTCACAATGCAATATAAGGCAAAAAATTGCATAATAAGTCAATATGGCTTTGTACAGTCAAACAGGATTAATCTTCCATCAGCTTAAGAAATAATACTTATTTGGATAAGCAGAACATTTATTTATTATATTTTAGGAGATTGTGCTGTGTCTCCTTTGTTGCTCAAAAGCTAATACTGTGACTTCAGTCTTTCCAGCCTGATGTTCCTGCCTTGAGAGAGTTTACTATTTCTTTTGTTTGAGCAGATGAGGAGCAGGGGACGCTTATTCCCAGGAGACAGTCCTATTAGTGGTGACATCATGAGTTAGGAAGGTCACGATTGACTCTCTTTGTTCATAATCCAGATTTCTATTTAAGTTTGTTTCAGACTCTCTATTAACTCCCATTGTTCTAGTCCCAGTCTTTATTACTACCAAGCAATAAGGCTACCAAGCTTTTTTGTTGCAAATTCTACTTATAATTATTCTTAGTAAATAAGCTACAATTAAAGTTTTCTAAAGCTTTTCCACACAAATACCTGGTTACAAGTAGATCTATAATTCTGAAAAAATCTCAGTAGTTTGGTCTGAAACTTTCCATTTGAAGTACCTGCCTGTGGTTGAAAATCACTAGTTCTCATGTATCCTTTAAAGATGCATAAAGATACAGCAGGGCAAATGTATTTGAAAATTGTTGCTGTTTCTCTCACTGGTGTAGGATGACAGTGAGTAACAGTAAAAAGTGCATGTTTTTGTCCTTTCTGTGGAAACAAACTGCTTGTCCTCAGCCAAAAGGCAAGGCTGCATTCCCAGCTCTTTCCCTGAGCACTATTGATGGCAGGCACCTCATTTTTGTGGAAGGAGGCTGTCCTGATTGCAAAGTAGTAAAGTTTTGGTTTGTGTCTCAAATTCTTGCTCTAACAAGTTACAGACTGATTTGTCACATGGTAAACTGAAGTTCATTCTCATGTTTACCAGTTGGAAATTTCCTTCTTTTTAAGGGTCTGCTAGAAACCTTTAAAATAAGTGAACTACAGGAAAGTACTGAAAATTATTCTTACCAGCAAAATATACAGCCTGTGGGATAAGTTAGTTGGCAGTTTTAAGAAACATGTAGTTTTACTTTGTCCTTTCCTACCTGGTGAATTAACACCAGAAATGCTTATTAGAATGAGAAAGGAAAAGGGCAGTGACTGTCCTAGGCTGGTTTTGAAATGCAAAGGATTTGGATGCTTGTTGTAGAAAAGGTAAGTGTAAAAGATGAGAACAATGCTGTGGAAGTGAAAGTGATTAATCAATCTGATAAAAGGTTCAGGCTCAGCTGCTCTTGTGAAGCAAAAAGTAGGCTTAAGCACAGAGTTCAGACACAACTCATACAAGTGAAAGATGCAGAAGATGGGGCATCTGTTACTGCATTGCTTGAGGATCAGTGTAAACTGACCCTGACTCAGTATTACTAAATACCATGAATAGCATTTTTTTGCATATCTTAAGCAATGGCACCTCTACCTGGTCTCATAGAGACAGTAACTTGTAACAGTAACAAAGAGAACACAAAAAGTGAAGGGGGAATAATGCCAAAACCACCTCCGTAAAAATCCAAATGAAACATAACAAAAAAATTACCAAAATAACCCCAAACGGAACAACAGACCCTGTCCTTGGAGCACCTGGTGACACATTCAGGCTGGAAGTTGTTCTTTTAGAGCTCGGCCAGCAAGTCCCATTATTTGTGGTTCAAGGAGTGGACTGGCTTGCAGGAGTAGTAAGAGAGTGGTTGCATGACCTCATTTCCTTAAGAAATACAATGTTGGAGAAACTCATCTTTTTGCTGAGGGATATGAGAATTGTTCTTCCACAGTCTCAACACTTAAGGGAAGAAATATAAGAATGAAATGGAAAAACATTATTCTGTGTTGAAAGCTCCACAATACACCAGTGGAATTCCCTGCTGAGAAGGCTGGAGTATGTTCTGCTTCTCCAGAGTAAAAGGAAAATCTATGAAAGCCCAAAGTTCCATGCTCTTTTGCTCCTTACAAAGTTCTGTGAAATGAATCTAAACACATGGTGTCATTACTGGCACAGGCTTTTTGTAGCATTTTCTTTCAAGTCTTCAGGTTATTCCCTGTGTTACTTCTCTCTGAATTCTTTTTTAAATAATTGAAGACAAGTATTTCAGAAATTCAGGTTGCCTTTTTAGACATGTATGAATATAAAATGGTTCCCTGAGTTTAAATCAAGTCCTTGGAGTCTTTATCCAACTTCATCTGCCTTTTTCCTAAAACTAATCAGGTTACAGGTTTAAGACCTCCCTTGTACCCCAGTGACATATCAGCTAGTTCTCTGAGCCCTTGCAGTCCTCTCTAGGTTATTTATCAGACTGGCTGAAGAATTGTATGCAGAATTATTTTTTTTTAATTTGGAAGTCAAAGTTCTCTTTTCTTTCCCAGCTCTTTTCTCAGCACTCAAGAGAATTGAAAAGTGTATTTTAAAACTCTGGGGTGGGTCTGCCACCAAAGTTACCCAACTGTAGAGACTTGCAGAGAATTATTTAGACCTTAGCAGGCTCTTCCTTGCCAGGACTGAGGGCTGGATGGATCCAGCTCTGCCTGCAGCACTGAGGGGCAGGAGGAGCAGGGGGCAGGCCCCATGTGTGTCAGAACAGCCTGACCTTGAGCCCTGGGTCAAGATGCTCAAGTGAACATAGAGTCATTTTGGTTGGAAAAGACCTTTAAGATCATCCAGTCCAACCATCAACCCAGCACTGCCAAGGCCACCCCTGCCCCATGTCCCTCAGCACCACATCTACAGGGCTCTGAAATCCCTCCAGGGATGGGGACCCCCCTGCCCTGGGCAGCCTGGGCCAGGGCCTGACAACCCAATGTCCAGCCTAAACCACCCCTGGCACAACCTGAGGCCATTTCCTCTTGTTCTATCCCTTGTTCCTTGGGAGACAAGACCAACCCCCCCTGGCTCCAACCTCCTCTCAGGCAGCTGCAGAGCCAGAAGGTCTCCCCTCAGCCTCCTTTGCTCCAGGCTGAACAGCCCCAGTTCCCTCAGCTGCTCCTGCTCAGACTTGTGCTCCAGACCCTTCCCCAGCTCGTTGTGTTTTTTTGGACATGCTTTAGTAGCTTAATGTCCTTTCTGTAGTGAGGGGCCCAGAACTGACCTCAGGATTCAAGGTTCAGCCTTACCAGCACATTTCCCACATCTTCCTAAATACAACTGTAACACCAAACTGTTCCATCTAATGACGTCATTGTTTTTTTATTTTTTTTCTGTTTTTTTGGTTTCTTTTTTAAGGCAATCAATATTAAAACTGAATCTGACCCTCCAGAAGCCAGAACTCATAATCTGAGACGTAGAATGGGATGTGCACCTACCAAGTGTGAAAATGGTGAGTGGCACAAGGGGAATGAAACAAACCGGGAACACAATTTCTGATACTTTGTACAAAGTCACTTAAAGACCAGAGTTAAATTCAGCAGTTGGAACAATTCAAAGTATATTTTTAAGGAAAGTACTTCTATTAACTTCTTTCTTAAATTGGAATTTATTGTTATTTCATTAAGTTATTTTATGGCTTTGAAATCCTTCTGTTTATTTTGTAAGTGGTTCTTAGAGAAGAAGATACTCTCAGTTGAAAAAAATTTGGCTACTTCTTAAAACTTCAGTGTCTCTTAAGGAGGAAGCAGAAATGGGATTTAAGACAAATTTCTATTTTGTATTTTAAATAGTTAGCATGCATCTACTGGATTTAGACAGAGGAAACGTGTTTAAGAAAGTATCATATTTCAGACACTTTTAGGAAAAAAAATTAATTTGAAATCAGGAAATTAAACTCATGGAGGCAAAAGATAGTAAGCTGTAAACTAGACAACAAAGTTCCCATAATATGTTTTTTGAATTGCTTCTATCAGTAGTTCTGAGTCTGCTGTTACCTCTCTTTAATAATTACAGACTGGGAAGAAATGTTTAATGCTATCAAAAAAAGAATAAGCTTGTTGACAAATAATCTGGCAAAGCAAATACAGAAAACATTTACAGCCGCTTGATAATTGAAAAAAAGTGTTTTGTCAGCCTCCATTATCCATTCAAAATGCTTTTTTCCCAATAATTTGTGTAGATTGGGGGCTTTTATTCTATAAGGAGGGTCTCTAGCCATTAGCCTTTTTTCCCCTCTGAAGAGCAGAGGAAAATGCTCAAGATTGTTTGTGTGCTTTGTTTTTTTTAATGTTTACTTTTCTGATCTACATAGACATTGTTCTCTTTAATATTTGTGAGCTCTGGCACTCCAAGAGGTGCTTTGGCTTGTCTCATGTCCAGCTGTAAAGGTCTCTGTGTCACTTGTAATTTTATCCAAGAGCTTTGTTGCACCCTTGTCTTCAGCACCAGGATGCTGGGATTCTCCACGTTCTCTTGCTCGTATTTGGGTGGGTTGTTTTTTGGTTCTTTATCATGTCAAGAGTGAAGACTTGAGTAGAGACATGCCCAAGTGAGGGAGCAGTGTAAGAATCTAGAAGAACTGCTTTTCCCAGGTCACTTCTGCTGGGTGCTCATCTTTGACAACACGTTCTTATGAAAGCTGTTGCTACCAGAAACTGGGGTGTGAAGATCATTGTAAGAAACTGCAGTTTTGTGTCATGTCTTCATGTGACACTCTGCTGTAAAACTGGTGGAGTAATTCAACCACATTTGTGAACGTGGTGTGGAAACAAAGTCTTGGCTTATGAAAATATTCATAACTTAAATTACATTAGATTTAAAATACCCCCTAAAAAAATGTAGGCTGTGATAGTCATTGCTAGCTGGTGGTTGCATGGTTGGCTTTTTGGATAACACCAGTTTGTGGAGGCATTTTTAGGTGTTCAGATGTTACCTTAAGCCAGTTGGAACAAGTGTGTGTTGGGAATAACAAGTAATTCAGCAGATAACTTGGAGTGATGCAGTCATAACAAGTAATAACATATAAAAAAGAAAAAGTTATGCTAAGCATTAAAACATGTTGTAATACCCTCTTTTTTTTTTCTTTTTTTTTCTTTTTTTTCCCCTCTTAACCAGATAAGGAAATGCACAGCCCAGGGAAACTTCCTGAGAAGAGGGAACATGCTGGGGAGCCAGAGAAAGACAAATCCAAAGTCCGGTCTAAAAAGCCCACTAATGCTGTGAGTACACCCTGCCTTAGAATCAGAGAAGATGCTGAGTTGGAAGGGACCCATGAGGATCATCAAGTCCAACTCCAGTCCCTGTGTAGGGCACCCCAAGAATCACCTCAAGTGCCTGAGAGCATCATCCAAACACTTCCTGAACTCAGTCAGGCTTGGTACTGTGACCACTGCCTGGGGAGCTTGTTCTAGTGCTCAACCACCCTCTGAGTGAAAAACCTTTTCCTGAGGTTTAGGTCAGCCTTCCCCTGCTTCATGTTGGTTTCAGGTGTTGCTGGGTTTCTTTTGGGTGTGGAGGGAAATAGCCCATCACCTGTCACAGCAGGTGCTCTTGTGTTCTTTATGTCACCCTGTGGCTGAAGCAAAGCAGTATCTATGCCTGCTGGATGTACCTCCTACCTCCTCCTCAAGCTTCATGCTGTTACAAAGCTGAAAACAACAAGATAGTTAAGTTTCAATATGTTTAACTGAAGAGCTTGTTCTCTGCCTCCAAGTTACAGTCTGAAAATAAGAATTTTGCAAGAAGAGTCCAAATAGAAATGGTTCTCCTGTGACCTGATCTCTTCCTGTTGCTCTTTGACCTCAAGGGAGCCTAATGCAAGCTTTGGCGCCTGGCTCTCCAGCAGACATGTCACTTACTCGACAATTCCAGCACTAAATTGGAAACTTTATTGTTCAAATGTTTCTTAAAAGCCCAACCCTGCTCCTGCTCCAGCTCCACACAGCACCACCTCCCCTCCAAGAAAACCCAAACTGAAAGCAGTGGTAGTTTGTCTCACTTTTGAGAAGGTGATAGAGATTCTCTGTCCTTGCCACTGCTTGGGTCCTTCCTAAGACAAAATTTAATCCACACCTATAGCTAGATACCTGAGAAAGAAATGTGCAGATAAAGGAAGGTTGGCACCCCTATCCCCTAAAGAACACCTATAGCTAGATACCTGAGAAAGAAATGCCCCAAAGGAGGAGGAGCGGGAGATGCTGCTGCTTATTTTAACAGTGTAAGACAACAGGGTCTGCTTGTCCTCTCTGTTCTGTATTAGATAAGGGCTCTCCAGCCCAGGCTGATGCTAGTGAAGGTGTGGTGAAGGGCAGGCTGGAGACAACCCTTCCCAGGCTGGGAGGGCCTGCACCTCTTCTTGGGGCTTGTGGGCTGCTGTGTGAAACCTCCATCAGGCTGACCCCAGCCCCAGTGCACATTGCTCTGCAGGGCAACTGGGGCCTTTCCAAATTAAAGTGAAGGTCTTGGCCAGTATCTCTGGGGAAAAAGAGGAACACTCCCATCAAGAGGAACCCCTTCCTCTCTTCTGCTGTTGCAGATGGTCTCAGAGGAGAATATCTGTGCACACACACTGCACCTGAGAGCAGC